TTCACTCTTCTTAAACTTCTTTCACAAAAATTAAAGAAAAAACAAATCAAATCTAACACACAAGCAAAAATATTTTAAGCTTCTTCAGTTGCTTCTTCGAGCGGGAGGATACAAATCTTCGCAATCGGACGACGGATGATTCCCTTGCTGGTTTGCAGATCGACGACTAGGATGAGCCCATCTGGTCCGGGGATGGTGTTGACGATTCTTGCTAGTGGATTGGCCGGATTTCAGTGTTCGGTGTGATGTGTCGATTTTCCTTCTGCAGCTCCTGCAAGTATTCGGTCTTCCACTGGTACCAAAATTGCTGGACTCTTTGCTGGAGACGCCGGTAGTGGTCCAAACGACTGGAGTCAATGTTGCTAACGTCGACTTCGGGGAGAGCGGTCATTGTAGTGCCAATTAGGAAGTGTGTGTCGGAGTGAGCACAGCCAAATCATTCATGTCTTCAGTCAGTGGAGTCAATGGCCGGGAATTCATTGCTGCCTCAATTTGTGCCAGCACGGTGCACCTGTCGATGTAAGTGCTTCTTCGCAATCTTCACTGCTGCCTTCCACAATCCACCAAAATGTGGGGCTTTCGGCGGTGCCATATGTCACTGAATTCCCTGGTTCACACAGTGGTTGGCTATTTGACCGGTCGCCTTCTCCTTCTGCATCAACTGGTATACAGTACTTGCTCGCTAACTGGGCTAAAAGCGCAGGCCAGTTAGCGAATTCCTCTCGCTAACTGGGCATCAAAAAACACTGAGGGGAACTTCGATGAATTGTTTGATCGACGTTAAAAAAAATTATGTACATTGAATTGAAGCAATGTAAAGTTTGTTATTGTTATTCTCGCAGCATTCAATTTCGCGAGTTTAGAAAGGCTTAACGCTTTCGCTAAAAACGCATTAACACTTAATATTCCATTCGAATGCCCCTCACTAATTTTGACAACAAAATGTCAAACTAAATGTGACGTCTATTATTGACGTTTGACTGCTTTTTAACTGGGCTACAGCCCAATTAACGAACGCCCAGGTAAAAAGCAGCCTAGTCAAAGAACGCCCAATTAGCGAACAAGTACTGTAATTCGCGAAGTTTGTTTTGGGCACCCTGAAAGTTTTTCCCGTTATCGGAATGGATGTGTGCAGGGCAACCACGAAGAGCGATGCATCTTCGCAGTGCAGTGATAAATGCGGGGGTGGATAAATCGCTCACAAGCTCCAGGTGCACGGCTTTGGTGACGAAGCATACAAACACGCTGAAGTAGGCCTTGGTTAGTGCAGCTCGTTTGTGGATTGGCCTGATGTATACTGGGTCGGCGTAGTCAACTCCGGTGACTGAAAACTGTCCGGTTTGGTGCATGGTGGGTACGGGTGAAGCACGAGCGCATCGAAAGCAGTTTCTAACGATACCATTGACCAATCTACGTCCTTGAATTGGCCAATATTCTTGCCGGATGGCTGCTAGGGTTACTCGACCGCCAATAACCGGGTAAATGGATGGGAAACTGGGTAGGAGGATGGGATGTTTGGTTATATAAGGCTGCTCCGAAAGACGCAATCCACCTCCAACTCTGAGAATGCCGTCCGGGTCGACGAAGGGGCACAAAAGGCGTAAGTGCGAATGCTTCGGAACCGCTTTTCCCTTCCCCAAGTACCTAATCTCCTCCTCGAAAACATCTGCTTGGGATAGTTTAACTAATTTTTTGCGAACCATTTCCATTTCGTCAACGGTGATCAATTAGTAAAACAATCACTCATAGCATGTCTTTTAAGTATTTAGGTGTCTGGTTCATTTGGAATCGATGGACACATGGAGAAAACATATTGCGTATTTGAGTCAAAAATGCCAGCAAAGGATCAATTTTCTTCGGATTATCACCGGTGGGGAGCCCATCCGGAAGAACTGATAAGGTTGTACCGAACAACCATTCGATCTGTTTTAGAGGACGGTAGCTTTTGTTTTCAATCGGCGACATTTTGAAGCTGCAACGGATTCTATACCGTTGTCTCCGTATCGCGTTAGGCTGTTTGCACTCGACGCATACGATGAGTCTCGAGGTTCTCGTGGGTGTACTCCCCTTAACAGATCGTTTCGCTGAGCTGTCTTTCCGGTTTCTCATCCGTTGCGAAGTTATGAATCCATTGGTAATAGAGAACTTTGAGAAGTTGCTCGACCGAAATCCGCAAACTCGATTCATGAATTTGTACTACGAATACATGACGCTGGAGGTTGGACCGTCTTCGTTCAACCCCAATCGTGCAGGCTTCGAAGACTTCTACAGTCAAGAAATCCATGGAATACCAGATCCTCATCGTTCGATGGCAGTTCCCTCAATTTTCGCTATCAAGTACCGCCACGTCAGTCAAGTGAAGAGATTTTTCCCAGATGGGTCTACCATAAATGCGTCCACTGGTTTTGGAGTATTCAATGAATTTCATAGCGCCTCCTATAAACTTCAGAAACCCTGCTCAGTTTACGCTGCGGAGCTAGCCAGCAGAGCAAATTGCCTCACTTCCCCCTGACCATATTACTTCATTTACACGGATAGCCTAAGCTTACTGGAGGCTATTCGTTCATTGAGGTCGATGAAGCACTCGTCGTATTTCCTGTTTGGAATACGATCTACCCTGAGTGCTTTATCTAATTGTTCTTACACTATCACCATGGTTTGGATCCCTTCTCATTGCTTTATTCCGGGTAACGAGAAAGCGGACTCGTTGGCTAAAATGGGCACAAATCGCCTTTAATGAATTTTTCTCAATTGCTCGTCAGCAAGTCCTCAACAACTGGCGACAAAAGTGAAATGATGGTGATTTGGGAAGATGGCTACACTCTATTCTCCCACAGCTGTCGAACAAACCATGGTTTAAAGGGTTGGGCATGAATCGTGTCTTTATCCGCGTCATGTCTAGGCTCATGTCCAATCACTTTTCATTAGACTCACATCTCTATCGGATTGGGCTCTCAGACAGCAATCTGTGCGCCTGTGGTGACGGTTACCACGACATCGAGCATGTTGTTTGGTCTTGTACTTTATACTATGTTGCCAGATCTGAGTTGCGAGAAACCCTTAGGGCCCGAGGAAAGCAACCTGCTACACCCGTTAGAGACGTTCTGGCAAGACGCGATCTCGAATATATGAAGTTGATTTACAATTTTCTAAAACCAATTTGAGAATTTAAGAGTCTTTAGCAGTTTCATTTTTATTTTATTTTTTAAATTGATGTGTCAGTCCTCTCATCGTTCTCCCAACATAGCCTCTTTTTGTGTTTCGTTTCAGTTGTCTCATCAATTGTCCAATCACCTTTAGAGATTCAGAGCCCTTTCCGCACTGCAGTGCTTCTTCCACGTTCATTCACCAATGCAACGGCGACGGAGGTTAAAACGACAATTCACCCCCATGTACCTTATCCCAAGTCCACATCCAACCTGTTAAAAGATTTTTGTCCTTAACCTCGAGTAAGCCGCGAGTATTCGGGCCCCGTTCTAATAACTTTAGTCCTAAGAAATAATGCTATTATACATTGAATTACGGCTCCGCAAAGCTAACGCAATTGAGCTTTTACAAATAAATTATATTATGAAAAAAGGGTTGAGTTGATCAGATGATTTAAAACTGATGCGACGATGTTACTCCTAGGGTGGGATTGAACTCTCTGAGCTCTGGGTTTACTTTAGTAAACCCAGTATAAATACCAGACTTTATTAACAATAAGTTGCTAAAGGGTGTCCACAGTTTAATTGCATCACTTTCAAAAAGTTGTAACATTTTGCCCTTTGGCTTAATTTTAATGAAATTTTCAGTGAGATGGACTCAGCGTGTATTGTTTACACTGCGTGAATTTCATTGTGAAATTTCAAGTAGTTTTGAAAATGGAGTCGAACAGCGCGTGTACGAAAAAACCCACATCTTTCACACCGAGTCATCGGAAAGATGTTGGGAAACCAACAATCTACTGTTTCGGAGAACGTTTAACTGTCGATAGGAAGCAAATGAGTGCAAGAAAAAGTGTTCCGTACTGCGTTGAAGATCAGAAGCGAGTGGTTGCTGCCTTCAACCGCAAATCCAACTATTCCGTTCGGGATGTCGTGAACACCGTAAGCATCCCAAAGTTGTCACTACGGAACAGGAAATGTTGAAATCAAGGTTGAAAGCAGAAAAACTGTTGATTCAACCGTTGTACAATACCTTAAGGTTCAATTTACTTTGATGCTTTTTCGAAAAATTGAAGAGCAGTTTTTTTCGACGCATTAGTTCAGATTTCAAAATGCTCGCACTATTCGATCCCTTTTCCTATTCTACACAAAATAATGACGCAAGCTTTTAGCAATCTGAAATAATGCGTCGAACAAAACTGCTTTTGAATTTTTCGAAAATGCATCAAAGTAAATTGAACCTTAAGGGTGGAATTAATAACAAAGTTCGGGCATTTGGATTTGGCGAAGAAATAGAGTGAAATAAAGATACGTAAACCAAGCTTATATATAGTATAATATACCCTGAAAATTTCGTGACAATCGGTTGAGAAAGTTATTTTTGGCGAGTACTTCTAAGTGATGCAATTTAACTGTGGACACCCTTTATGAAGGCTGTTATGAACAACCATTTCAAGGGAATACCAGAGAGAACCATAATATTATTCAGCGGAATCCTAAAAGTAACTCAAAAGACATCTTCGAATGATTCTAACTAAAACTCCTATGAAGAGCTATCTTCTAGAAATCTACAAATTATCTAGTTAATTCAAACATTGAAAAATATTTCAAGATGCTGGACACAACAATTTAAGATTCGGAATTTGAAAAAAACTTTTAAACTTCTGAGATGTCATGCTTACAAAAAAAAAATAAGATCCTGCTCCAAGAAAACTCTTCGAAAGGGCAGGAATATATTGAGATTGCAATCAAACTCCTGGACATCGCCAATCAACGGATAGAATTGGGATAACCAAAAAATCGAGATTGATCCTGCGACTGTTAAATGCCACGGACAGTAATTAGAATACTCACTTTGTTTCGTCGACCAGTTCCACTTCCGGCTGCTGCGTGATGGGCGTGTTCGAATGTCCGGCGGTTGGGTCATCGGCATTCAATTCTCCGTTGGTTGAACTTACGACCTGTGTTGGGTTTGATTTTTAACATTTTTGCGTGTGCGTATGTTTGTTTGGGTTTGGAAGTGGTGGTTTGGGGGCACACAGATGATATGGAGAAAAATCAAATCAGGACGTATCAGGATGTGGGGAGGGAAAAAACACGTGGAAGCAAAAGGGAAGAGAAGAAAACAATTTGATTAGTTCGATTTTTACCCGATAGGGGGCGGGGCCGCGATTGTCTCGCAGCCGGTTGCAAAGATCAATATCACTACTAAAGTACTGGATATAGAGAAAATAGTGGTGTGGGTATATAATACGGTAATTAGCGCCATTATCTACACGGTGAGATTGGGGTTTGTGGTGGTGTTTCAGGTGTAGTACAGGTGAGTAGAAGAGAGTGTGTGTGTGGCAAGAGTGGTTTGGTGTTTTATTATTTTTTTTTTGTTAAAGAAAACCAGAAAAATACAGTGCATTCTGCTGCTCGTGGGTTTGGATATCGAATTGTTCGAAAGAGTTTCTAGTTCTGTATACAATTTTTACAGTGCGCCAGGCGGTGGCTGTGTTTGCACGTGAAGAAGTTGGGCAGTGCAAAGTGGGTTTCATGTTACAGGGAATTAAGAAAACTCTACTCGGCAGCCCGCAAAAAACAGGTGGCAGTGTGTGAGAAGGCGTGTGGTTTTTTACTGTTTACATAAAAGCTAATTGTTTCTAGGAGTCTGATTTGGGTGGTTCGATGGAAAATGAGAACGAAAATCCCAAGGATAAACCGAATTCAGGTGAAAACAAAAGAATTAACAAAACGAGAATAACCAGGTAGTCGTACCGATTGAGATTAATGTGAGGATTTGTTTTTCACGTGTCGAAAAGGGATATCGCGTAGGATTAGGAATAATCAACAGTCTTGGCAAAAACAGGCTATTTGTTGCTGGTTGCCCTCTTTGGACGAAATCTTGCGCGAAAAAAGTCGAGAGCTTTATATCAATTTCATGGAATAAGGGGATATTAACGCGTTGTTTCATGCTCTTCTAATAGCAAAATAACCAAAAAAGCTGTTTTAAGCACAAACCAAGCCGGTCATTACTCATCCGTACGAAAAAAAAAAGTTCAAATCCTACTTCGCATGGAAAATGGTCGTTTAGGGAACATGCTTCAGTCGGGTAGTATTGATATATGTTAATGAGTAGAGGTGAGGGGGTCGGAATGAAATGTTTACTTATATACAAATACATGAAATCTCATTCCGAGGTAATTAAAACTAGAGCTACAAGTTGTTAATACTACAGCTATACAACAATCATGGTTTAATGGTCGGTTTATGCACACGATGAGCGGTGAAAAGGTAGTTGAAGGGATTATTTCATGCGAGCTAATCCCAAGTGAGGTGCTTTGTTGTATAATCGCAATTATATTATTAATTGCATCATCACTTGTTTGAATCATTATCCCGCAGCTTAAGGATGGATCATAAATTTCGATTTGAATAGATTGTAGAAAAAAAACAACTGTTGACGACGAGTAACAGGGTTACGGTAGGTAAATTAGGCTCCTTATTTGAAATCCAGGATTGAGGAGCTATGCTAACGACATTAGGCAGCAAATTCAAAAACTGTCTTTTCGCGATATACTTAAATAAGGAGTATGTGAAACGTGCCTTTTTCGAACAAGGTACACCGGAAAGGTAGGAATTACCCGTGCAAAGTCTGAGATCAAATTATAAACTAAATTTGATGTTGTGTTGTCGCTGATAATGATTACTCGTTTTGATCGTTTCAATATCAAAATTAAGAGCAAAACAATCTTCGTGTGACATCACATTGAAAACTAATTCTGCTATCAAAGAGAGCAAACTGAAACCTCAATTTGATGTACATTTTTCCTGTGGATAACACAACGAGTATACAATTTAATGTTCTGCTAAGGCAATGCAACCAAAACGGCGACAACATATTTTTGAAGAGCAAATATACAGCACAATTTGTCAATCACGTAAACTGAAATTTATGATTTCAGTTTGATGTTGATATCAAAATTTAATTTCGATTTGCTGTATTTTGATGCTGGACATTGCTCGGGTAATCTCACTGTTTGGTCATAACTCCGGAAGCAAATCGGCATTGAATTCGATAGAGTTCTATGGGAGTAAGAATATAAATTAAATTGGATCAAATCGGTTCAGCTAGTTTCCAAATCAAACTGGTCAGTGCGAAAAACAGTCAGGTTCAATGAGTCATTTTCATATGAATATGAACTGCCATCTGCCTCATCATTCACTGGCTCGTGAGAGTCTGAATGATTGGGAAGTAAACGAGTCACTGACAGCAGAGCACTCGGTCAGTAGCTCAGTCAGCACGCTTATAGAAATTTTCACGCCTGATTGTATTGGTGCGCTGTGTGAAACTGTGATAGTGAAAATCCGAGGAAAATACTTAACAAACCGCTGTCAATCTCATTAGGACTGATCGAAAAACATACATTTTCAGGTTATCCCGAGGAACATAATAAACAACTTTACACGGCGATAGACCCCCGTTAGTGTGCGTGCGTTAAACGTCGCTAGTCTCTATTCTTCCTTGATGGTACCCAATCTTTGTTTTGAATGACTGAACGTACATGAGTGACTGAATATTTTCGTTGGCTCTTTCATTGCCTCGTCCTTTACTGCTTTGGGCAAACGATCTGGACAGAGCAATGAATTGAATAGTGCAGTTCTTTCACACCCAGCCTAAGAGCACCCGCACCGGTGCGTTGCTATTCGGGCTACTAGTTTGACAACTTTAGCCGTTGCTATTTTAGTTAGCAACTAGTTTCCGCACCGGTCGTTCGACTTTCGCACCGGTAGTTGATAAACTTTTCGTCGAACTTCGAGCTAAAATTGATCACAGAGTTTCGTGATTGTTTTTTCGACAATATTGATATACCTAACAACGAAGACTGAAGATTGAAGGTTGAGATTCAATTACAGATCCAGGCACTCAAGAAACGGTCCTCCGGAAGATCCGAAACATCCAGGGAAATTTAATCGATTTCAGGAAAATTTACTTCAGTGAAGATCAAGAGCTTCAGCCCAAGTAACATTTTAAGTTTTATGAAATACTACAAAGCAACTATAAAACAACATTCATAAAACCCTGGTCAAGGCTATCTTGTCATTAATGCATCCACCAAAACCTCATTAAGACTAGAATATGTCTAGTTGGCCCACCCTGAAGAAGGTTCTGAAGGGTGTATTCTCGAAGCTCTTCAAGATTGATTTACTGCAAAAGGTTGTATGACGAACGCATTGAGAACCATTTGAAAACTACAACAAAAGCTATTTAGCAACAATCAAAACCCTTTCCGAGCCGTTTCCCCTAGCCGCTTACTAAATCCACTAGGAAAGCATCAATCAAGATAGAAAAGGATTTATGAATCCGATCTTATCAAAATAATTATAATAGAAACTGATGGTATAAAAATCGTGTTGAATATCCAAATTTATTACAATAGTTCTCATTATGTGGCCTAGTTTTAAGTGCCTTATTAAATTTCATGTGAAGTGTACATGAAAACATCGAAAAAAATAGGTCCGCTCTCGTAAAACGTCGATTTGACTAATTATTTAACATTGAATAAAATAAATTATTTTTCAGATCGAGCTAGGCTGAGATTATTTTTTTATGATATTCGCATTTAAATGTTTGCTCATTGCTAAATTTACCAAAATATAGTTATATCCAAGGAAATATAGAGAGAAAATCGAAGATTGTAAAAAAACAAGCAAACTAAATGTAATATGGCGGTGGCATAAAAGATGATTTTCATGGGTCATTTGTGAAAAAGTTGTTTTGCTTTTAAGAAATCCATAAAAAAATCCTTATGTTGTAAAATGGCTTTTATGAAGAAAACTTGCAGGCTGAATTGTATTTATCTAAGGTCATTTTGCTTGATCTTAACCCGTTCAGATTTATGGCAGCATTTATGGAGGCAAAGTTGCTTGCAAAAGTTAAACGTCAAAGTTTGTTTATCTTTCGATAGTTGCGCTGTGAGATTCAGCGTTCTTCCAGGCGATTATCTCCCGATGGCTTGGAAGCAGTTACTAAGAAAGTGTTCACAATATTTCGCATTTCGCACAACTGTAACCTCGATAATTCCCGAAAAGATCCCTTTCTTCCGGATGGTTCTGGAAGTGCACCATCAAACGATGCAGAAATGTACAGTTGAATTAATTTTTTCCAAGTGACCCTTTCACCGAATAAAATCGCAGCTATGGATCGGAAACCAACAAGTGTCCGCTAACTGACAGTTTCAGTGGTTTGCTGTCGGTACTGACACAAGTTATTCCGATCTTCACTATTCGCAAGGTCTGGAGAAGGCTGGTTTGTTTTCAGGCTGTTTTGACAATGTTTTATGAATTTGAGGACCACGCTCACTTCTCTCTTCTCCACCAGATGCTCAGTCGTTGATTGTAACCGTTCCGCCGGACGTGCTGGTTCTTCTAAAGAACTAAATTTTACTTCGGTCGATAGCATCGCTTGAATTTTTCTTCCAACTTCGTTTATCCTTCGATATATCCTTGTCATAAATTTGGTTTTTATTCACTGTGAGGATCCATCCTTAAAATTCAATTTGTAAACAGAGGAGATTTTATGATACACTTTTAAAAGCCTAAAAGGCAACAATATATACCATTTGCTCTCATTTAAAACTTAATGGTTATATGATTGCTTTTATAATGATAGAACAGGTTTATAGAGTATTTTATCAAGACATTAATAAAAAATTGCTAATGAAGTTTATGATTGATTTATAGAACAGTTTTATGGTGGGATTGAGAACAACTTTAAATTTAATTTTAAAACAAGACAGTTTTTGACTTCTCGACAGACTGTAAAAGGTTTTTAAAACAGCGAAAAGGTGAACTACTAAGCAGGAACGTGTTACACTGCAAAATGCTGGATTTAAACTAAATGGATTATTCATTGCCATTATAAAACCATCATAAATCAGAGTGGATGCCAAATGATTGCAGAATTGTTACTTGGGAG